GTTCTCCTTTAGATTAGGTTAAGGAGCCAACTGAAGATTTTTTCTTGTTTATGTCCATCAGTGAATGTGGTACAAGGCTGAAAATATAATCTTATGTATCAAATTAGGAAAGCAAGCTGTCAAGTAATTCATATGCTAAAATCATGCAGTCATCAAGGGAGTCTGTATTGATTCAGATGTATTATCAATGTATCATTGACTTGTTTTTCCTAGTGCATGTGCTTCAGGCTGGTCACATGTGTCTCCTGGCAGATTAAATATCTAACAGTCCATGGTCATGGAAAATTTGTTGTGGTACACTGAACTAATCGTGGTTTCTTGAGCTCTGAAACAATATTCACTGATTAATTGTCAGGCTCGAAACTTATAAACTACATTTTTCAAAAGCTCTTTGCATGAGACATCCATATTTTCCTACTTAGGAACATAGATAACTTCACTACCTCCAGCAAATGTCTGAACACATACAGTCATAGAACCCTTAGAGTTGGAAGGAACCTCTGAAGGCCCTCTGGTCCAATCGCCCTGCAATGAACAGGGTCACCACAGCTAGATCAGGTTGCCCAGGGCCTGATCTGGCCTCACCTTGAAAGCCTCCAGGGATGGGGCATCAACCACACCAGAAGTCCAAATTCACCTTATGTTTGCATTATGTGGATACAGGTATGTTCTCAGATGTGCTGAAAAAACAAACTCTGTATGAGGCCAGAGAAGAAGACTCTGATATATCACACTGACATTAATTAGATAGATCTGCCTGTGAATCAGAAAGTCTGGCATCTTTTCTTCTTCTCCGTCTCTGAGTACTGGCACAGTGTGACCTGACCTGAGCCGATCAAGTGCTTCTCGTCAGCAAACATTAACATTAATGGAGGCTCAGCTTTAAAAGCAAAGTTTAAAATCTTCCTGGAAAAGAGAAAATAAAAAAATAAAAAAAATAGGATTCATTAGAGGAAAACAGCTTTGTACCTTATTATATGGAAAAAATTTCTTGAAAAAATTCATGGCATCTCCATTCTATCCAGTTTTGTTTTGATCAGTGTGGATTTACACTGAGTGGTTATTAGGAAAGCAGAATCAATTCAGACTTGTGGATGATGACATTTCTGGTCTCTGCTAGGAACTGTCATACACTGTCATGCGATGTGCAAAGAGTGCAACCTGTTGTATGTATTAACAGCTACCTACCATCATCTTCTGAAGAAATACAGAAAATATTTGTAAGGAGAAAAATGGGGAACTGCGTTCAGAAATGAGGTATACTTGGATTAGAAGAGGCATTTGAGAAACACTGTAACAGAGATTCACCCAACATTTTTATTACTTCCTGGATGATCAGCTTGACAGAGAGAAAAGGGAACAGTTTATTCAAGGAAGAATGAACTTTATGATTTGAATGGCTGAACTCAGTTGTGCTGCAGAACATGAGAGTAATTCTTTTGACTTCACTACTGGCTACTCTGGAATTGAGCTGTGTGAGGACAGTTTTTTCTCCTGTATTCTCTGATAACTTGGTAGTATGCTGATTATTTGGTCACAGTAGGCAAGCGGGCATCGCTGTATTCTGTTTTATTTTTCTCCTAGATGCAGCACAGCAGTAGCTACTAATGTGTCAATAGCTACTACATTAAGAATGATTCCACAAAAAGACAGGAGAGAGACAGAACAATCTATCAAACGTCCTTTAGGCGGGTGGGATTTGATGCCTCACTGATGTAATTGCTGTTTATCCGCCTATCTGAGTATTCTTGGCAAAGACATTTGGCAGTAGCTCTGTTGAGCTCATTTGAGTCCTGGCAACTTCTCTCCACTTGGAATCTGCCCCAAGAAACTCAATAGGTCAGAATTCTTCTCCAGGCTGCTGTAACTCCATGAAGAACTTGAAATAATTTCATTTTCTTTGCCTAAGTTTCTGCAAATGTGAATAGGTTCTGTTAACAGTCATCACCATCTATGTGAGGCATAGTTCAACCTGCTGAAGAACACAGCAATAATTAGCTATGTAATAAGTGATGGAAATACAAAGACATGGTGAGACTTCTAGGGAAGTGCTACTGAAAAACCAAAACCAAAGCAACACAATGGCCCAGATAGAGAAAAGCATTGATAACTAAGGTCCTAGTTCTAAAGAATCAGCTGCATTGCTGTACCTGCAATAGTAGCTACTTTACCAAGTGTATGGGAACTGTTGAGTCACAGCCTGAACCACTGATTGATCACCTGAGGCAAGCACTGAGTCAGCCCTGGGAGCACAGGTGAAGGCAATTCAGCTGTTTGACCGGGAGGGGTGGAGCCTGGCTGCATCTCTCCTAGACCCATGTAAGGGCTGACTGCCCCTGGGGAAGGATCTCTTTCTGAAGATCTCTTCTCTGTGGAGTCTTTTCTACAAACTAGATCTTTGGATGCAGGTGACCATTCCTTCCCTGTTCATTTCTTTTCCTGTTTTCATCACAATAGTCTTTTCAGCTGTAGCACCAAGGATGTGAGTTTGGAAATTCAAAGGAAGTTGGCAAAATAATGTTTATTTTTCCAATGTGCTAATAGGATCTTTCTTCAGTAGAATTTAAGAGAATTTGTCAGGTTAGGTGTAGTGTTACATAATATCAGTTTCATTTTTGTTGTATTGCCCTTATTTTTTCTTGATGGAAATATATTTGAGATAAATACTTAATGTCCTTGCTTTTAAGAAAGTATCCTTGGATGACTTCAGTCTCCTGACAACTTCATATTCCTGGGAGCTAATACTGCTGAGCTGTGAGTTACCACAACTGAAAAGAGACGGTATAGCTCAAAATACCTTATAACTGTGACAGAAGCAGACATTTTCACCTAGAAAGATAGCAGAGGAACGTGTCAACTGAGAGCACCCTCAGCAGTAACTCTGAAGGAGCCTGAGATGTCATTTGACTGGTCACTAGGAAATGACAAATGGGGAGCTTGTACAGATGTTATCTGGAGAGTGTATGAAACAAGGCATGCACCTTGGGAGCAGGGCAAGGCCAGGCTCTGGTGTGTGGGGAAAACTGCACAGGCACAGCTTGCCTCAGGGCACTGGCAGAGCCTTTTTCTGCTTTGGATGATTTGCAGCACACAAAAGGATTTTTGCTGCGTAGTTCGTATTTTTTCTCATTCCTCTCATAATTAATATTTTTTTAATTTTTGCCATTGAAGCAATTAAAATATTCAGTCAGCGTATTGTGTTTTAAAAATCTAAAACACAGAGATAGGTGGGCATGTTTATATTTTGTCATTCCTGATATTACTCATCGTTCCAGAACAAATTGTATATTTTTTAACTGCATTCTGTTTTCCATCAGATCTTGTCTTGTTTCTCTGGTAGAAGTGTGAAGCTCCGTGATTGGTTCACCTTTTGCAGAACTGAAGCTTAAATTTTTGTTTCTAGTCTCTTTCAGTAAATGTCATCTATTTTGTCATGTAGGTGGCTTTTCACGTGGTATGCTTGATTTTTGAAAATCTGGTAGGGATGGGAATTAAATGTATTTCAGACCAAGGATTAAATGGTGGTAGATTGGAGAGGAAAAAAAAAAAAAAAGTAGTCAAGCAAATAGCACTCCACTGCTCCCATCATTACCACCTCCTAACTCTTCCCAGATAAATCTGATTAATTGTTCCTGGCTTGGAACACAACATGTAGTTGCAAATTCATCCTGTTCACATTGGTAAAGTTTTGATCCGCAGCACATTTTTCTCTTTGAAATCTTTTTCTGGTTACTGAACTGAAGGATATCAGCGTTTCTCTGAGCAATAGATGCACAGGTTCTTCTTGACTGTACCAGTGTCTGCTCACAGCTCTGCACTTCCACTGGCTGTTGTAGCCTTCCAAGCGACCAGCACACTACTCAGAAGGTTGGACTTGATGAGTAGAAGAACTCTGATTTTAAAAATCTCCCCTTTCCCTGCAGTTTTGAAAGCACCCTGTAGCTGCCTCCTTTCTAATGTCCCAGTCAAAATATTACTTGAGGTGGTAAAATGGCCAGGTAAGTTCCTGGATTGCTTTGAGTTTTCACCAGCCATGCACTCAGTGAGAGAATTTTTGACAGAGATGTGTATATAGCCCAGTTGAAATTAAAGTATTGTACTCCTTGCATGTTAGTTGTGCATCAGTCTTGTGTCTCATAAATAGACACAAGAATATTTACTATTTTTAAAGAAGTAATGCCAGAGTACCCTCAAGCTGGATTTGTTGCAGAATATTTTGAAATAAGCTGTTCTTGATATTCTTGACATCCTTGATCATTTAACTTTTTTTTTTTCTCTTAAAGACGGAATGATGGTTCATATAAGATGGTACGTTCAAAACTTACTATGTAGGCCACTTTAGGAATGAATAAGACTTCTTGTCTTAAATCGCTTCAGGGTCCACCTCTAAATTAATAGAATGAATTCCCCTTGATTTGTCCATTGTACCTTCCTTCATGTTTCTGCAGACTTCCTTCTCTTAGCCTTTAAATTTTGCTTGCAAGACTTTTTTTCCAATTTTAATGTTGAAACATCATCTCAGGTATTGTAGTAGCTGCTCACAAATTTGAGTTAACTGCAGAAGGAAGGGCTCCTGATAACTTTATTGAGTAAAGTTTTTGGTGTATTTTTTTCATGTGCAGTAATCTCATGCTCTTTTCTTACAGTGCTTATGCTCTCTAACTTATGATCTATTACAGTCTGAAACAGGTTTCTCCAGTGTAGGAGAAGCCCATGACAAGCCAAACTTGCTGAACCTTGAGAAATCTTGCAGAGGCAACAGTTTTGGCTAACTTCTGACTGCTTTTACGGAGGTTGAAGTTTGTCCCTGTATGGTTATGTTGCCACAAAAAAAGTAATACTAGAATTCAAATGGATGTAATGTAGCAGCTTTGTGAGACTGCCAGCATACCTTTACTGGAGTGTACCCTCCATAAGCCAGAGCTTAATTAAACTAGATAACATATATACCACTGGTTTTTATTTCCTAATGTTATGGTTATCATTTTGGCCTGTTTCAGATAAGAAGACAAGGCGGAATACAATTACTGGTGGACCTATTGGACCATCGGATGACTGAAGTCCACCGTAGTGCCTGTGGAGCTTTGAGAAATTTGGTATATGGGAAGGCAAATGATGACAACAAAATAGCTCTGAAAAACTGTGGTGGTATTCCAGCTTTAGTACGGTTACTCCGCAAGACTACAGATTTGGAAATCAGAGAACTGGTCACAGGTTTGAACCTTTCCCTATCTTTTGTTCAAGTTCTATGTAGACCCTACAAGCACAGTTCTGTGATGCGTGTCAATAGCTCCATCAATAACTTTTTTTTAACTATTGTCTTCCTCACAGTAGCAAAACACTTCCAAGCCTTCTGAATGTGTGTAATATAGAAATAGCTTTATTTGATATTATGCTGTCTATGTACTAGAGTGGCATGGTTTCCAGATGGAGTTCCTGCTTATTTTGTTCTTGCTTAGCCATGAGTGCCTGTGCAGGAGATGTACTCCATGCACGGCTGTGACTTTTTTGGGGTGCAGAATTATACCGTCAGCTGTACTCTGTTCCTCATCGTGTCTCATGTAGGGCTGTGGATGTAGAAGTCAGTGTTCACTGAATGCTCTTAGAAACTGTTATGCAATTCCTGTGTATCTTATACAGGGAAAATGGTGGTGGTGGTGTTTAATTTTCTTGCACTTTTGAAAGGAAAGTGAACAACATGCTGGAGAAATGAACTGTATACTCTTCTGAAGCTTTTTACTCTAAAATTTGATAACAATGTATGTGATGTATTTTAGATAAAAGGGAAGCAGGTAGTGGTAAAGTCTATTTCTTTTCTTGATAGTATAAAAACCATCCTTTGTGAGATTGTCCAGGGTGTTTTTCCCTAATGAAATTTAAGTTTATTTTTTCAAAAATGCTCCCAAACAGTACCAGTCGGAAACATTTGGAGATTCCTTTCTCCTAAACCACCCTAATTAAAATGCAAAACAAAAGATAAATGGCTTTTTTTTTTTTTTTATGTAGTGATTTCATTATATTTGATTGCTAACATCAATGTGGTAATTAATTTAATGCTACAAGTTTAAAAAAAAAAATCTTAATATCTTTTTAATTATCCTATTTTACAGTGCCTGTATTTTCATTATTATTTTTCCTCTATAGTATGTGAGAAAAGTTCTTATCTTTATCATAGCATTGTCAGAGTACACACCATCATCCAGTTTCTGCAGAAATTACTTGACCTGGTGGGTCAGGCCCAGGTTGATAAGATTGCCATCCACCAGTTGATTCCAGATTCTGAACAAACTTCACTGTGTTTATTAAATGAGAAGTAATGTATTTGATTTTGTTCTTCAGTTACATCACCTATCAGCTCACACTTGTTAGGCAGGATTAATAGCATTCAGATGCCAGGCTACACATGCTCTGATGGAATCTCCTGCAGAGTGACAGAATTACTGGCAGATGTAATGAAATGTAACCACTATTTCAGATACAACATACTTACTAGAGTCTTGTTATGTTGTCTCTGCCCTAGCTCTAGGGAACACTGTGCTTTTTTTGTTCTGAGTAATAAGTGGCAAACATTTAATGAACATCAGCAGTACACTTCAGTGGCTTGTTTCAGTGGCAGCTTCCTTGCTGTCTGTAGACTATACATTATGCCACAGGTCATTTAAAGAGAGATAAAAGGCTACAGTTTACATTCCTTCCGTTGCACAATATCATGTTAATTTTTGCTGAATTCCAACAGAAAGAATGAATGTGCTGAATGCCTTCAAATTGCTACTTCCAAGCGGTTTAGGTACTATCAGTGGTAGGAACCAGCCTGAATACAGCTAGATGCAGCTAAGGGAGATGTTTAGTATCAGGAGTGCTGGACATCTGTGAAAGGAGTGCATGGTGAGATGACTTTGAGGAGTGGAATCAAACCTGGTAGCTCAGGAGGGCCCACCTGTGTGTTTTGTGGGGTTTTTCTTGTTTGCGTTGTTTTACTTCTAAGCCCAGCAGGCTGTTGCTTGCACTGGCTGTGTTTGTGCATTTTGGAATGCAGATTGCTAGCACTGGCTTTGAAAATGAAATTCTGATGGTGATTCTCTGGAAAGCTCCTTTCAAAAGCAGTGCTCATAGCTGCACCTCTCATCTTGTGCCTCTTTAAAAACATGCTGGAATTTGTGCACCAACACCAGTTATCCTTTTTTGACAAGCATGGTAGTATGACTGCTACCCCAGTTAAATTCCTTACCTCTGTTTTTTTCTGGGGAAGGAAGGGTGTCTGCAGCAGCTGCCTCAAGAAATATTTAACTTGGTGGTGGGCAGAAGGGAAAATAAAAACTTCTCCCACTTCCTGTCAGCTTTCTTGAGTTGAGGTGGCAGGAGGATAATTATTTCAATAGTGCCACTGTAGCCTGAAGGAAATACAGAGAAAATAATAGCAAATGTGTGTTTTAATAGTAAACATACTGCCTTGAGCCTTTCAAGCCCATGTTCATTCTGCATCCTGTCTACACAAAAGCTGGTTTTGTTTGTTAGTTCCAGAGAGAGCACAAAGTTCCTGCCTTAAGAATTCATATGGGCTGTGTCACCACAGCTTCTAAATATTCCTCATGCATTTGTCCTCAGTGTGCTCCTCTTGGGTGGAGAAGTATCATTATCTCAGTTTTACAGATGGGGAACTGAGCCTATCAAGTCTAAATGACCTGTCCAGAAATCCAGCAAGACGAAGGTGTGAATCATTTTGAGTAGGCACTTAGCTGTGAGGAAAAAAATATGGGCAGAAAATGTTTTTAGCAGCTCAATTTATCTGAATAGTAGTGAAGCATTCACTGCCTGCTTCAAGTACCGTGAAGCACATGCCCGCCAAGGTGAAAGTTATGATATTTTTTTCTTCCCTCCAACATGCACATATTCTTCCTTTTTGTTCCTTCTCTCTGAGGAGCTTAGAGTTTCAATTTCCAGCTATCTCAAGACTGGTTTTGGAAGGGTACTTAAAACCTGCAAAGCAGCTTTCTATTCTAGTAGCTTCTTGCTTTTCAACACTGCCTTTAACACCATGAATGTTTTCTTCCTTTTTCTTCAGCTCCTAGGCTGAAGCTGTGAGAGAAGTGTGGTGCCTAGCTGCTATGAAATGAAGTGACATTAATACCCATTAAATACATCTGGAAATATTGAAAGGTTTCTCTTCCAGAAACACTTCTATAGTCACTGTGGGGTTTTTTGCTGGAAGAACATGAATAAAGTAATTGAGGTAGACCAATGGATATTGGTTTTCTCAGCAGACCTGGGGAGAAGGATTTGGGGATGTTGGTTGATAAAAGACACAACATGAGCTGGCAGTATGCACTTGCAGCCCAGAAAGCCAACCGTGTACTCGGTTGCATCAAGAGAAGTGTGACCAGCAGGTTAAGGGAGGTGATTCTGCCCCTTTACTCTGCTCTTGTGAGACCCCACCTAGAATACTGTGTCCATTTCTGGAGCCCCAAACACAAGAAGAACATGGAGTTCCTGGAGCAGGTCCAGAGGATCACTGGACTAGAGCACCTCCCCTATCAGTATGGGCTCTGAGAGCTGGGGTTCTTCAGCCTGGAGAAGATAAGGCTCTGGGGGACCTTATAGTGGCATTCCAGTACCTGAAGGGGGGCTACATGAAAGCTGGGGGGGGGGGGGGGCGACGACGACTTTTTCTAAGGGCAGGCAGCAACAGGACATGGGGAAATGGCTTTAAACTGGAAGAGGGTAGATTTGGACTAGATATTTGGAAGAAATTCTTTACTGTGAGGGTGGTGAGACACTGGAACAGGTTGTCCAGTGAGGATGTGGATGTCCGCTCCCTCGAAGTGCTCGAGGCTGGGCTAGATGGGGCTTTGAGCAACCTGATCCAGTGGGAGGTGTCCCTGCCTATAGCGGGGGGGCTGGAACTAGATGATCTTAAAGGTCCCTTCTAACTGAAACCATTCTATGATTCTATATAAATGCTATATAGAAGTGAACGTCCTGATAGAAATAAGAGTTTTCATCAGGGCCTACAGTGAGGAATCTGCAACCTCTGACCATTTCCAGAGACTCAAGGAGTCTTGTTTCATGTAAATATGTAAATGAAAAGAATTCCATGTAATCTGAATGCACCACAACTAATTTAGATGTTTTTTTCAGCCCTACCCTGTGTTACTATTTTCTAGAATAGCTCCTGTTAATGGGAGCCTTTTATTTTAGAATAATTAAATGCTGACACTTTTCTAACAAATGTAAATAAAAGAGAACACAGTGCAAAATTAGAACAGATTCTGCAGATGGTAGAAAAATGTTTTCACTCTTTATTAATGAAAATGTTTAGCTGATCGTGACTCAGCTTTCCTTCCCTGAGTTACAGTTAATTATGAACTCTTCCACAAATTTCTATTTTAGCATTCTTATATCTGGTTTATTATCAGGGGAAAAATAAAAACCAACATGTAAAAATAAGATGTGCTAGCAAGATTAATCCAGTTGATTCCTTTTGAGAAGGTGAGGTAAAGCAGCATTTGGTAGATTCATGCTACCCTTGCTCCTCAGCTACAGCAGCTACACCTGATGACTGGTTGCCTGTTTCAGAGCAATTTGAACCCTTTTCATTTTGGCGAACAAAATCTGTAACAAATGGGAACACAGATTATACTACTTGAGGAATGAGCTAACTGAATTAGAAACACCTCAATTTTAAACAGGTCCATTCTGTGACTGTACCTCAATTTTTCAAACTGTATATATTTAACTGAAAGTAAAAATGATACGCTTTTAGAAAACAAAATATAAAAAACAAAGCTTTAAGTAATTACAGGGAAGATATTTTTTTTTTTTTATGCTGACAATCATCTTGATGCTTATTTTGATTGACATTAAGATGTCGAAGATCTAATTACTGTCTGTGGAAAGCATATAAATTGTAAGGATCAGAGTTTTACCCTCAACATCTAAAAAGCATGAACTGTTTAATACTGCACATATATACTATACAGAAGGGTGTGTGTAGTCTCAATATATTTCATTCACATTTATGTGGAATCTAAAAAACATTACATTGTTGCAATAAATAGGAAAAAAAAAAAAAAAGAACTCGTGTACCTATATTTCTTCCAAATAATCACTCATCTCCAAATGTGATTAAACCATAGTATGGTTGAACATGAAATTTTTTTCATTTACTGAATGGATCTTGGTCATATCTGTGTTGACTGTTTCAACTGTGGCTTAGT